ATATGAGTGAAAGATGTCAAAAGTATCTTGGAAACATGAAAAGAAAATGTAATAATGTGCATTGGTAACTTGTACTATGTGTTATTTTAATTGTAAATTAAGAGATTTTAAGACTGAATGCGTAAAGTAGTAGTACTTAATACATTATGAGTTGTTTTTAAGAAGTTTAAGACTTTGTGCATAAATGTATAGTACTTTGTGCATTAAAAATTGTTTTTAAAACTTTTGATAAATCTGGTTTATAAAATAGTATAGATATCTTGACTCTTGAGTATCTTTTCAATACAGTAAAAAATATGCATTTTATTTATTTTTTTACAAAGAATTTATTTTAATGTGATTTTAACTTCTTTACTACATGGTAAGAAAAGCTCATGAAAATTTTAAAGTACAACTTTTTTTTTTATAGATTATAAAAGGACAAAAGGATTTAAATTTAGAGAAATTGATCCAAATGTTCATATTCCACTTTCTACAACCAAATTGACCTCCTAATCATTTCTCTTCAGACTTTACTCAAAAGTCACTAAGTCCGCAATACCCAGGTCCACAATTATTGTGAGTCCACTAAACGATAAAATCCTAGAGTTTTTTAGCATAGGTCTGTAACCACATGTCTGTAATTATTACGGATCCGGCTCAAAACCCATTATCCTTGAATCCGTAATGTCAGATCCGTAAGTGTCCACCTCCATACTGCCATCTCTGCAATTATTGCGGACCCGCCACGTGGCAACTTCTGAATAAATCTTAATCAACCAAGTGGTAGGTCCGTAAGCCATGTCCGCATTTTTTTTTGCCAAAAATCCCATTTTCATGTATGTTTGGTTGCGGTTGTGCATTGTATTTTTTCACACTCATTATGAATTATATAAACTTCAACAGATCATTAAGAAGATCACTGTATTGGAACGATTCGATTCTGTCAAATTTTTGTATGAGAAGACCAACAATGGATATTAAAAACAAACAAGTCTTTTCAATCAAATATTTCTCTCGTGTATCTTCCTTTTCTTTGTTCTGTGTTTTTTTTTCAATATGAGTTATGAAACTAATAAAATTAGGTTACGTATTAATGGCCGAGGGTTCATGGCAGCAAACTAATCAAGAGTGGGAGTATGTTTTCTGATCAACCGCTGCTCTGCGTCATGGTGTCATTAAACATTACACATTCGATATTGGTTAGTTATGTTTAAAAAAATAGTGGCGGCTATCTATATACCATGCCAATAACTCTTTAGTAGGCTTTGCTCCAGGCGTGGCCTCTGCTCTTCCTAATATATTCAAAACTTATAATGTTAGATTTTGTCGGTTAACTTAATTAATCTTTTTAAGTATTTCTTTTGTATAGAGGGGGAGACCCTTCCTATCAAGCAAAAAAACCAAAAACGCAAGACAAATTCGCACTCGGGTAGGGGCGAACCACATCCACCAGAAAAAGCCAAGGAACCCCATTTTTGTAAGTATTTAAAAAGCATACTCTTGACATATCAAGGATGTCAAGTACGTGCCTCCAAATAAAGATAAGGGACCTATCCCAACGAATTGCCCTAGGGAGCCTATGGTCGTCTTTTACAAAGTAGATGGTGCAGACGGAAAATGTCTCAAAAATCCATATATGTGGATTACAATGTCAAACATTTAAGTAAATTGTTAAACATGTAAAATGTATAATATTTAAATAATAGTAATTTAACTAACCTTAAAGGCAAATAAGAACCCGATCATCGTCAATTTACATTTCTTATCAGCCTGTCTTCGGACAACACTATGCATTTGCCTAGTTGCAGGTTCCCAGATAAAAGATCCCTAACGAAAACGGCTTCAAACCTGAAAATTCTCTATTGCCCTAATCAAGGTATCCGTAACAAGGCAAATTGCCCCGACGGCCTAGAAAAAAGATCTCAACCATCATCATCAAATAAACACGTACAACATCAACGTCCTCAAGATCGTCCTCCTCACCTTTGTTATTCCTAACGGTGCCAAAAACATGAATGAAGTCGCGCACCATCAACTTTCCATAACTAAAAATCCTATGAATGTCGACCCTACCTTATGGAGGGTCGACATCGGTTCAAAACGAAGTCCTGTCACAAGATAGATCTTCTTCTGACCATAATGAAGTATATACTTGTCGACCTGAAAATACATCTCATCATCCCGTCCATTCTCTGGGAACATCTCTGTCTGTAAAAATATATGAACAAACATCGGGTTTGCCGAATTATCATTAAATCCAACCATGATCTAAAACAGGCAGAGGTAAAAATCTCTAACCTTTGCCTATTTAACTTCTTCTTAATATCGTGAATAATAATAATCTTTGACTTCAATGTCAATGAAGCGTTATAAAAAACCACCCTGCGCAATATTAATTATCAAAATTTAGAGCCAAAGTTTGTAAATACTCTAATTATAGAGATCAAATGTGTAAATTTTGTAAGTTTAGAGACCAAATGTGTAATTTATCAAACTTTAGGGACACAATCAATACATTTTAATTTCCTAGGCACCAAATCTGTTAATGCTATAGATTTATAGCCGAAGTTTGTTTATAATCTAATTATAGGGACCAAATGTGTAAAATTTGTAAGTTTAGGGCCAAATATGTAAATTATCAAACTTTAGAAACACAATCAATAAATTCTAATTTCCCATTCACCAAATCTGTTAATGATCAACATTTAGAGCCAAAGTGTGTTTATAATTTAATTATAGGTAACAAATGTGAACCATTTATAACTGTAGGGACCAAATGTGTAAAGTTAGCCATGTCCGTAATCATATGCAGGTCTGCAATCATAATATGGCCAGTCCGCAATCGTAATAGGGTGTTCCGATTACATTTGTGTTCCACCGCAGGGTTTCAAACTTAGATAAATATCAACATTAACATATAGATTATAGAGGGATGGAATATTCCAGATCTGCCTTTGGGTTTCAAACTTAGATAAATATGAAGACAAGAACTAACCTCAGCCATTACAGAAGCGTGATGAAGTGAATTGGGCAAAACACGAGCGTGAATCGACTCGTGGAAGCAAAGCGCGTGACTCTCAAAAATCGAATGCTTGGATGTTTGATGGTCCCCCATAATTTTTTATACTAAAAACCATGGCCTTTAATTAGTAAATAAGAAAGGTTTAAAAGATGTGAGAGAGGTAGGTGGCCGATCAAGAGCAATAGTAACCAAAACGTCTGGTTTTTAAACAAAAGAGACCATTTATGGACTATACGAACTTGTCATCTCTTATTCAATTCAACGTATTAGGGTTTATGGTAACCACCCCATGCTTGTGGCACATCTACACTAATTGCGGATGTGCCATTGCGTATGTAGCATTACACTTCCAGGAAATTACAAATCGGCCATTATGATAGTGCACCGATTCATAAGAAAATAGGCTTTGGGTTGAATACCGTAATAGTTACGAGCCGATTGTTACAAACCTGGCCCAAAACCGTTGATTTTTTTTGTCGTTTAGTGGGTCCGCAATAATTACAGACCTGGGTATTGCGAACTTAATGACTTTTGAATAAAGTCCGGAAAAAAATGGTTAGGAGGTTAACTTGGTTGTGGAATGATTTTGAGTCAATTTCCCTTTAAATTTATCATATTTGAGATATTATTAATTCAAATATATTAAAATAAGGAAATAAGAATTGATAACTTAATTCCTACCAAGGATTATTGGCAAGGATGGTCCCTAACTTTTCTGCCATTGAAACATGGCCACATGATTTGGGGATAATCGACCACATGATTCGGGAGAATCGACCCCATCTTGAAATCGACCCATGAACAACCGACTTGTACGTTTCAACTCATTAAGAGCTTGTCAAAAACAGTAATTATCAAATACTGTAATATTCTGTAGAGTAAAAAGTACAAGGGTCTAATTTATTCGATGCTATCAATTTTTATTGTGAGTCATGTCAATTGATATACTCGAAATCAGTAAATCTGACCGAGTTCAAGTTAAATACCACACGTATAAGAAAAACTTTGGTTTCTAAACAATCTTGTGAAACGACTTTTAGGTTTCGGTTGTAATTATTGCAAGAACAGAAGAAAAAAAGAGAGGGAAAAGAACGGAAGGTAAAACATGAGTCATTATCTTATCTCATTGTATTATTCCTTTTTAATCATGAATACGTTGAACGATGCATCAATGTTCTTTGACTTGAATTTTGGTAGATTTGGTGTTCGGCCTCGTTTAAAAAGCTTCGGTGCGATTCGAATAAAAAAAAATAGGAATTTGTGTTGGGAGCGATAGACAAGTGAATGAGATTTTTTTACGAGATTGTAATTGAAGGATCCGATGATGCGATTTTCTATAATTGTACTGGAAAATTCTCTTCAATATTACCCAAGAATATAAGTTTCTTGATTGAATCTTGTTAGACCACCGTATCTTTAGGTTAGACCACCGTATCTTTAGAAAATATGGTGATTATGTGTAACAAGAGTAAAACATAGCTATAATAAGATGCACCAAACTTGCTTGCATCCTCCCTAATGTACAAAAACTACCAACACTGATAAATTTCAACTGTTTTTCTTCTTCTTTTTCTAAGGTAATAGTCGTGTCTAAATTTGTTGTCTTCATGTAAACAACTGCTATACTCTTGAAGGTAAATATCATATCTGCATACATCTTAAGTCTGACCCTACCTCCAGGTTGGACATATTGGGCTCGTTTGGTTTGGGTTAGTTTGGTTTAGTCATGTCTAACATTGACCGGTTACGTCAGTTGTATCCAAAAAATAGTTCAAATCTCTACCATTACATAAATGCAAGATGTATAGTAACAATGCAGGAACTAAAGCACTGAAAGTGAAACGAGTCGAAAGTACAGGGTGTGAAGTGAAATTTGAAAGAGCATCAAATAATTGTTTGTTTTGGTGGACCAATGGTTGGACCATGTATGTGAGTCCACACTATAAGATAAGAAATGGGGTCAGGGTTATAATCAAGTAACTTCATATTTATATTATGTCCACTCATATTGTACCTTGTCACACAAAAATACAAAAAATCAATCCTATTTAAGGGTTTGTGTGTCCTTCCATAACACATTTCCTCCTCATCTTCACTTTGGAATAATCCAAAGGACCACCGTCAGCACCATCACCATCACCACCACCACCACCATCATCAGTATCACCTGTTCTTTCAAAAAGGAAAGATGGTAAGGCCTGAATCACATAACTTTATGCATGTTATTCTTTTTTTAGCCCGATCATGTAATATCAAACTAGAAACAGACAGATGATCCGTGAGAGCAACACCAAGTTGGTTCTCTGTCTTTCTCTCTACACATTCCATGAGACAAAGGGTGCAACCTTTCTCATACGTCTTTCTAGTTGTGGCTTAATCTTTCACGTTTTCCAATCTGCAGTTCCGTTCAAGGGTTTGAATCTATAGCATTGCACATGGTGCTCCTCCAAAGAGGCTAAAGTTTTCTCTACCTGTTATATATAAAGATGGAAGTAAAGCAACCAATGTTCCTGACCGCATACAACAACTTATATGGGAGTGCATCGAGTACCGAAAACAACAAAGATCGGAACAGGAAAACGAGGAAAGAAAAGGGATGGGAGGATGAAGAACCCTTGAACTTACGGAACTTGTCAAAGGTCATAATCCCTCCGTTGGGTGCTTCATCAAATTATCCGCAACACCATATTCATTCCAAATCCACCATGATCATCTCTCCTACAGACTCCAAATACAGGTAACAACTAGTTTCTATTTTTCTTTATTGGTATACTGTATGTTTTAAACTGCTTCGTATACTGATTTCGATTAACTCATCTTCTTACCCTCTTTTAATTACGAGTTTTAAAGAAATCTTTGAAATTTCATGAAAGCCGTAGCACTTTTGATTACAAATAACCAAAGAAGTTGCTCTCATATCCTGGAAATATGACGTCATAAAACAATTTTTTTTTACATATTTCTATCTTTTAATTCAGTTAATACTAAATAAGTGCAGGTGTTGGCAGACATTAATGGTGGCAATGGTGGCATATTCAGTTTGGACATACCCCTTTGAAGTCGCCTTCCTCAAATCCTCTGCGCAATCACGGAAGCAACTCCTCATCGCTGACTTTATCGTCGATCTCTTCTTTGCCGTCGACATTATTTTGACATTCTTCGTTGCTTACATTGACCCTACCACTCATCTCCTTGTTCGTGACTCTAAAAGCATCGCCACCAGGTATCTACCCAAAATTCTTCCTATCCCATTACTTTTTCTACCCAATTCCACTTCGTATTGATTCGAATTGTTCTTTTCGGGGGGAATTCAGGTATATATCGACATGGTTTCTGATGGATTTGGCATCCACGTTGCCGTTCGACTTGATATCGTACTTGTTTACCGGCCACCACGTGAGTCTCCCGTATTCCATATTGGGTTTGCTCCGTTTCTGGCGTCTCCGCCGCGTGAAGCAATTTTTCACTAGGTCAGATTCAGATCGATCGTAAATTTATATATATTATAGATGCTTCAACTTACATATGGTTATGGCAGGCTTGAGAAGGACATACGATTCAACTATTTCTGGGTCAGATGTGCGAGGCTTCTTTGTGTAAGTCAATAAATTGTGAAATCCAACATGAAAATGTTTTCGAGTTACAAACATTTTGTGTTTGATTTGTGGTTTTAAGTTGAAATTTGTGATGGGTGTGTGATAGGTGACGCTATTTTTGGTGCATTGTGCTGGTTGCATCTACTACTTGCTAGCAGTGTTGTATCCACATGATGGAAGGACATGGATCGGGTCAATGAACCCGAATTTCAGGGAGGCGGATATTTACATTCTGTACATATCCGCCATATATTGGTCTATAACCACCATGACCACCGTCGGCTATGGTGATCTCCACGCCGAGAACGCGGCGGAGATGGTGTTTATCATCTTCTACATGCTTTTCAATCTTAGCCTTACCGCCTACATTATCGGCAACATGACCAATTTAGTAGTCGAAGGCACTCGTCGCACCATGGAATTCGTAAGCTCTAGTTTTCTTGTTTAGAGTTTCAACTCTAGTACTTTGACTCTCGAAGTCAAACCGATACAATTTCAAACTCAAATTTACATGGATTTACAAGAATTACATTCCACGCTTCTTCTTTTGACCCTCTATCTGTTCTAAGATTCAAATGGGTACTAATTGTTTTACGGCTAATCTGAAGTTCAGTGGAATTTTGAAGTTGAAATCTATGCTGGTTTGACCAAAATGTCAAACTCAAAGTCAAATTTGCATGGATTTTGTACTAATTACATTCCATGCTTCTTCGTATGATCCTTTATCTGTTTTGAATGTCAAATGGTTGCTGATTTGTTATCAATAGCTTGAAGTTCAATTGAATCTTGAAGTTGAAATCTATGTTGGTTTGACCAGAAAGTCAAAGCAATGCAATCATAGTCAAATTTTTACATGGAGTTTGTACAAATCAGATACCATTTCTTCTTTGGACTCTCTTTCTTCTGGTAAGCTCAAATGGTTACTGATTTTGTACCGACAATCTAAAGTTCAATCGAATCTTGAAGTTGAAATCTATGTTGGTTTGACCAAAGAGTCAAACCAATGCAATCAAAGTCAAAAAATTTACGTGGATTTTGCACAAATTGGAGACTCTATCTTTTGGGAAGCTCAAATGGTTACTGATTTTGTACCGATGATCTAAATTTCAATTGAATCTTGAAGTTGAAATCCATGTTGGTTTGACCAAAGAGTCAAACTGTTACAGAACTCAAAGATCCTACTTTTGCTGCATTATAGAGAAACAGCATTGAAGCAGCATCGAGTTTTGTGGTGCGGAACCGGTTGCCAACTAGGCTTAAAGAGCAAATTCTGGCATACATGTGCTTAAGATTCAAGGCCGAGAGCTTGAATCAACAACAATTAATCGAGCAGCTCCCGAAAACCATATGCAAAAGCATTAGACAGCATTTATTCATGCCAACGCTCGAGAGAGTTTATCTGTTCAATGGTGTATCCAGAGAAATTCTCTTGCTTCTGGTATGATCCTATACTTTGAATTTTCAAATCCAAAGCTCACACAGATCTTGAAATGCCCACAAGCCCAAGGTCTTCTTGTTCTTAAAACTTGATGTAAATTTTAGTTGTTTTGAAGAATTTTGTCAAAATTTTGATGGGTTTGTAAGATTTCTGAATCTAAAATAAGTCCTTTTGATCTTAAAAGCTAAACTGTAAACCTAATCGGTTCTTTTGTTGTTGTTTTGGAAAACAGGTTGCGGATATGAAAGCCGAATACATACCGCCAAGAGAAGATGTTATAATTCAAAATGAGGCACCTGATGATGTGTATATAATCGTATCGGGTGAAGTAGAAATCATAGAATGTGATCCGATGGAGAAAGAACAAGTCTTGGGTGTTCTACGATCAGGTGACATGTTTGGAGAAGTTGGTGCACTTTGCTGCAGGCCACAGTCTTTCACCTACCGAACCAAGATCCTAAGCCAGCTCTTGCGGCTCAAAACCACCGCTCTCATTGAAGCCATGCAGACAAAACAGCCCGACAATGTGTCCATCCTCAAGAACTTTCTTCAGGTTTGGTTAATTTAGTCTGGTTGAAGTGGACCTGTTCTTGTCAAACATGGCCTTATGCTTATTATGCAAGTGTCTTGAAGCATTGACTGCAACTCTGCAGCATAACAAGAAGCTTAAAGATCTGGACTTGGGGGACTTGTTGTTGGAGGGCGGTGAAGAGGGTGTCGATGGAGATCCGAACATGTCAATGAACTTGCTCACTGTTGCCGGCACCGGCAATGCTGCTTTTCTAGATGAACTTCTAAAGGCAAGACTTGATCCCGATATCAGCGACTCAAAAGGAAGAACCCCTTTGGTATTCCACTCATCTTTCCATATCTTGATCATTACAAAATCGATCTCATTTACAACCAAGAAAAGTTTGCGATGTGATTTGTTGATTTTGTTTGCATCAGCACATTGCAGCATCAAAAGGGCATGAAGAATGTGTTTTGGTTCTTCTAAAGCATGCATGCAACATACATCTTAGAGGTATATATGGTTGTTTGGGGTTACTATCATTAATTTTGTTGGAGTCCCACATCGACTAGACTTGAACCATTTCTCCTCAATATATAAGGTTTTTTGGAGAGTAATCTAATGGGTTTCACATATTCTCACAAATTCTTTCAATTTTTGGCTTCAAAATGATCAACTGACATATATTTATGACATATGTATGGTAGATATGGATGGTAATACTGCATTATGGGATGCCATAGCATCAAACCACCATTCAATATTTCGAATTCTATACCACTGGGCTTCCATTTCGGACCCCTTTACAGCCGGTGAGCTCTTGTGCGCTGCTGCAAAGAGAAACGATCTATCGGTCATGAAAGGCCTCTTAAAACATGGCCTGCTCGTAGATTCAAAGGACCACCATGGATCAACGGCTATCCAAATCGCAGTGTCGGAAAACAACATAGAAATGGTGAAGCTACTCGTGCTTAACGGGGCCGATGTGAACGATCACACAATCAAGAACAAGATCCCAGCAGAGAATTTGAAGGATTATGTTGCAAAAAGAGAAGTTGGACACCAGATCACGGTGCCGGATCAAGATCTGGTGACGAAGGCCGCCTCTTCTGGTGGCCGGATAAGGGAGGAGAAGGTAGAGAGGGGTATTTTGGGAAAATCACAAGGACAATTTGTTGGTAGAGTTAGTATATACAAAGGGCTTCCTATGGTAAGGAGGAAGATTAGTTGTACAGATGCTGGGAAACTTATTAAGCTGCCAAGTTCACTGATGGAGCTCAAGATCATTGCAGGTACATTGCTTGTACTTAGTGCATGAATACTTGTACATTTTCTTCAAAATTTGGGCTTTTTTTAATGATAATTAAAGCTTGTTTTATGGGTTTTTCTTTTGAAGGTGAAAAATTTGGATTTGATGCTACAAATTCAGTAGTTACAGATGAAGATGGAGCAGAAATTGACACCATTGAAGTGATTAGAGATAATGACAAGCTTTTTATAGGAGAAATACCTTGATGGTTTGTACAAGAACCAATCAATAAACCATTGATCAAAGGTGTAATACCAATGAGCATAAATCAGATCTATAGATAATAATTTCGTATTCCATAAGTGTCGATGAGAATTCGGGTTCAAGTATGTTTAAAGGTAACGGAGGGTTTATCTGACTGTTAACTCGAGACCCTGTAGAATTATCGAGGTGCACATAAATTAACCTAAACCTTGTGGGCTTAATCTCCTCAGAGGTCACTGAATCAAGTATTGTAAGACCACTGGGGATTTTCCTGACTGTTTTCCAGGTCCTGTAAGATTAGTGGAGGTGTTATTTTTAGAATTTATATAAAAAAAATGACTATAAAATGAATTAAGTTGTACATACAAGAGATATATATATATATATATATATATATATATAGGGTATATTTCTTTTACAACCTTGTGTATTTGTACAACCCTTGCAACCCAATTAATTGAGATCTTTATAGAAATGATGGGAGCTCATTTATTATGATTTGAATATTTATGGAATATGAATAGAGTTCATTAATTATGATTAATACTTTATATTAGGAAACAATCAAAACTTCTATGAAATCACATATTTATCAAATGAAATGGACGGTTGAGATTGGGTTGTATTGGTTGCACAAATGTCAAGGGTCGTATAATAACCAACCTCTATATATATATATATATATATATATATATATATATATATATATATATATATATATATATACACACAATTAGAAAAATAGTATAGAAATGAAATTACCGTTTTGTCCCCGAACGAAAGTGCGTATCTACTTATGAGATGAGTTAAGTGGAGTACTCTTCCATGTCTTAAATAGCAGGGTGGGATCCATACATTTTCTTCCGTACGGACTTTGTTGCGAAAAAGCTGGGAATCCTGGTATTTATCATCAAAATGCGGTGGCAATTTCGAATAACTTTAACCAAATCGATTTAAACAAAAACGAATATTCACCATCAATTTATTATCTTTCATTACTTCTTTATTTTTTTAGATTAATGTTTTAAATGATATGTGATTAGTTTCGTTTAAAACTATTACATATCAAATATGATTCACTATATGAATTTTTGTAGATATCAAATATGATAATATATATATATAGAGGCCTAATCAAATGAGAACTAATTAGTTTGTGGTAACTGTGAGAACTAATATTAACTACAAATCAATAGATAAATTAGAAAATTTATAACTTTGGCAATTTTGAATTAAAATTTTAATGCAAGGATATTTGGTATTTTACAACTTTCCTCTCTCCTCTCTTCTCTCTCCGGCCACCGTCCTCCGGTGATACTACAATGGTATCACAATGCATCATATATGTGCTTGGGTATCACATTGATGTCGTTTGTGTGGTCGATCGAAGATGTAACACAGTGATATCACTATACATCTTATATATGATTAGGTATCACAATGTATCTTTTGTTTAACAGAGTCAATATTTTTAGGTATCACAGTATATCATAGTGGTATCACCAGAGGACGGTGGCCGGAGGCCGGAGAACGGTGGCCGGAGAGAGAAGAGAGGAGAGAGGAGAGTTTTAAAATAACAAAAATATCCTTGCATTAAGATTTTAATTTAAAATTACCAAATTTATAAATTTCCTAATTTATCTATTGATTTTTGGTTAATATTTGATTTTTGGTTAATATTGGTTCTCACAGTTACCACAAACAACTCAGTTTTCCCTTGAATAAGCTCCTATATATATAGAATATAAGTGATGTATTATCACATGTGATAATATTTATACCACAATAAGGTCTATAGATATAAATATACATAATTACATATGATTAGCAAAAATACATCTACAATTATCATATATGATTAATACGATCTTCGAACAAATTGTCATATGTGATAAAAAAAATTATAACCAAGCTGTTACGAATTTACTTTTGTGATGAAATCAAGTTTATTTGAAAACGGTTTAGAAACAAACTCAATCCTAATTTGTTAGGAATTATCGTCAAGGTTACAGACAATGTTACATTATTTAATTTAATTTAATAATATTTTATTTTATTCATTTATTAAATATGGTATATATTCTTTCTCATCTTCTCATATAATCCTCTTTCACTATCTCTCTTTATTTATATTTATATATATATATATATATAGAGAGAGAGAGCGTTTGGTTCAAATGTTAACCAAGATTATTATGTTAACTTTGTTAACCAAGCTCAAGCAATGAAAATCCATCTTTTATCTAGGTTCATATCCATCTCATAATTTAATGACGAGGGTAAATATGTAATTTTAGTTTGTATGGAACTCTCATATTATTAATTGGGAGTTACAAAATCAAAAAAATCTCATAATTGTTGTTGATTTATTATTGATCTTGTTTTTCTATAATATTGATTTATTTATCTATGATGTTCTTGAATTTGTGATTGTTAAAAGAGACACGATAGTAAAGCTTTCGATATCGTTCAAGCTAATATGGATAAACCCACTAAAAAACAACTTGACAACAATGAGAAGGTTAAAATGGTTTACGATGACAATCGGACTTCGAGTTCCGGAAGTGAAGACAATAATCAAAGAGTTTGTATTGGTAATGGATTAATATGCTATTGTCTTTGTTCTAATCGAAATTATGTTGATTATGGCGTTTTTGTGTTTTTTATAGTTTATATTGTGTTGGTACCTTTTTCTTTAATTATTACTACGAACCCAATTCATATGTTCAAATGGAATGAGTTCATCGTAAACTTAATTTGTTATGCAATCCAATTCTGATAACCATTCGATAAGATTAAACAATGAAATCGACGGATGAAGGTAGTTTGCACGGTTTGTACAAATTGGATGGATGCAAACCACCCAATTTGTACAAACCGTGCAAATCATGTTCATCCGTCGATTTTATTGTTTAATCATATGAAATTTTTTCATGAAATTATTTCATATAATACTTTTTTGATGAAGTTGTTTCATATATGGTTATGAAATTGTTTCATATAATACTCAATGAAATTTTAATGAAACTGTTTCGTGTATTTCTCTAAAATAAAAATAATGAAGATGATAATATCCATGATTAACACCTTCCACAATAAAAATAATTAATCAACCTCTCATAATTACAAACAATTGAACAAAATGAAAAATTATGTTGGTTGAATGAGGTTTGTACGGTTTGTACAAATAACGTGGTTTGTAAAGTAAACCTCCTATATGAGAATACTCATATATATATATGGGCCTAATTAAATGAGAATTAGATAGTTTGTATTAACTGTGAGATCCAATATGAGTCAATCATTTTAGATAATTAATGTGAGAATACTCAAATGAGAACCACAAAGAAGTTAAAAGAGGTTACTAGCCCTGAAAACTGATATAAAAATATTTTTTGCATTAACTTTTTCATCAAAGGCTAGGAAGGAGAATTAAGATTGCGTTAACTTATATATATATATATATATATATATATGTATATATATATATATATATAGACTTGGGATCATGTGAGACCAAGAGTTTTTCGTGAGACCCGTAAAACCAATTCTCAACCATTGGATTAGATCTAAAATCTGAACATTCAGAATCACAAAATTGCCACCATGCAACTTTAGACCATTAAATCATTAGTTTATAAAGTTGATCAATGAACATAAATTGGTCTCACGAAAAACTCTTGATCTCACCTGAACCCAACCATACATATATACATATATATATATACATATATATATATATATA